TATATATATACATACATATATACACGATATGTAACATGTAGCGATAGTATATTATGTATACGTGATGGCGCATCGCGCGTTTTGGCTTCCGACCAAATATACGCTCGATCGATCGCACCTACCGATCCGTAGCGAGCTCGCCGCCGCTCGCGAGAGAGCTAACGCGGACGGCAGGACGGCACGGGATATATGGGGGCTTTCGAAAACGTTGCGTTCGATCGCCGCGCGTCGTTTTATACGATGGGCTAGTGCCGCGGCCGGCAAGAGAAGAGAGAATCGAGTACGGTCCGCGCGCGCGCCGATCGAATTTTGCAGTTCGCCAGGACGCGCATGTCCGGCGCGGACACGAGACGCCGCGTTTATACGTAGAAAATATTCGCGGTTGAAATTCGAAAGGTAGCTCTAGCTCGAGCGGCGTTTCTTCGACCGACAACGTCGGTCGGAGCAACTTTCTAGTTTAGCTGACGTGCGTACGGCGAGAAGACGTATATATGTGTGTGTGTGTGTGTGTGCGCGCGCGCACGCACGGTCGCGTGCAACTGTGTGCGTGCATGCGGGCATACGTATATGTGAGCGCCTCTGTCTGTCTTTCTCTCTCTTTCTTTCTTTTTCTCTTCTTCCTCTCCTCGCTCTCCTATCTCTTTCTCATTCTCTCTCGGTATCTCTTTCTCGTTCTTTCAGTCTGCCCTTCTCCATGACGGCCATGTGGAGGAAAACTGGTTTCAAAAGAATAGAGCAACTGCGTCTTACCAGCAACAGCCACGAGGAACGAAAGCTCCGACACCCTCGCGCATGAGAGAGTTTAACATCGTATCTACATATATATGTTACATATATAATATGAGCCGTTTGACAGGATAGGAGTACAAATCTTACTTTAGCGCATTTTTGAAGATAATTATGTTGAAATGATATATAAAATTCTGAAAAATATGATACCACTAATGAATATTTTAGAAATATAATAATCATAATTTTTTCGTATCTTTCTACGGATTTCTCGATTATATTATATTTATCTATGTGACGAAATTTTCATGCAACTAATATTGATATCATAGATCTCGTAGAATTAACAATATTATTAAAATTATATTAATACATAGAATATTGAAAATTGTATTATTGAAATAAAAATCTATCAAACGTCACTTGACTCAAAATCATACAACGTTTCGACATCATCAGCATTTTTAATTCCAGCTCCTGTCATAATCAAAAGGGCAACTGTATGTCTCGAATATTTCCGTGAATATCCGGATCGCTTGGGAGGATTTATCGGGAGATGACTTTCTCGTGGACCGACTTCAGGCTCCTCATTTACTCGGGCGTAGTTCGAGATACCGTGTGCGAGAGAAATGTCGATAATATTCTCCGGCGTGCGCAGCGCGTTATGTAAAATGCGAGTTTTGTAACGCGACGAAGGAACAAAGTTTTCACAATTACGACACCAAAATGAATTTAACACGGACGCTGAATGGAACGAAGACCCTGTTTCCCCTCCCATCTTTCATCGTTCGTTATTATTAGACGAATATAATTGATCGGGATTATCTTTCAGAGTCAAGTATATCCATTTCGAGATGACTCGCGTCTCGCGAGTAGACAAGTTCTTGTCGGGAATTGTCATCGCGGTTGGAAGCGCGGATCGAATT